AGACAGATATACGTTTGCTTTATCGACAATTCCACCAAAAGGAATATGATATGGCAAAAAGCCCTAGTCTTCCTTGAAAATTCACATTTTCCCTGTGACCCAAAAAGCGCTCGTGGCAGTGTAGCAGGTCAAGCTCCCATCCTGCACTGTCGTGGTTCGACTCCCACTGAGGGTGTTGATAAGACCGATGCGTGGCCGAAACTGCATTCCACCCTGGATGAGAACAATTTTTGGGAAAGCAAGGAAGGCTATGTGAAATTCAATGGTAAACGTCAGCTCAATTCATATCATTGTGGGAAAATTCTTTTACCAGTCCTTCATCACCTTAAACGAAATCGGGTGAACACATATCATATTACTGATTTACTGGTAGCCACGAAAACAATACTTATTTCGAAAAGCAATTTCTCTAGTTCTAACCTTACTGTCTAGAAGGTAATACATATTTCGGGCTTCGTTATCTTTACGGAGACTTCTTATGCCGAACTGTGTTTGATGAAACGTGATTCAAATCCCCTATATTTCAACTTATTAATTGATAAAACATTTAGCCTGATATAATTTTTGATTAGCACGGAAGCCTTGATTTAAACATGATTCTCACTGCTTTTATTGTAAGTTTCGAAATCACTTCTCTTAACCTCTCATACTTTCTGTATTTTTGTATTCTATGCTATATTTGGAATAGGCATCCAGACTCATTATCTTGATTCAAATCAGAGACCACGCTACGATGACAAATATTGCCTTATAAATAGGTAGACATTTTCGGTTAATTGCTTTTTGCCCCAACCTTTACTAGATTTCTATGCTTTGTATCTCTATTATGAAAGTTTTTTATAGCCTAGTCTGAATATGGGATTTATCTAGTCCTATCAAATCACTGGTTTGACATGAATCTTACGTTTGAACCCGGTGTTTCAGTCCCTACTCATGACCTCTTTTGTCGGTAATCATACTTATAGATGTCTTGATATATTAAGTAGTATCTCGAGTCCACTTTTCATTTTCTTATTTCTACTTGTTAAAGTGTTCACAAAGACTTTTGAATCACTTCATAGCTGCTTGCATTGTAGCTTTGAATCGGCTTTAGAATGTTCTAGGTCTGCTATCCACTCATGAGCCGATATAATGATCGTTTTGTAGCAAGCAGTTTTGCTTTTTACTGAAACATATTTTGATAGTTAACATACCGACTTCAGATGACTCTTTTCAGACGAATTACCTCAACATGCCACACATTTGTCTCTTATTAACATTAAATTTATACTGAGAGCGGATTTCGTCCACACCTGAATAATTATATTAGACTTACATTATTGATGCAGCAAACCAAACACGGAATGCATTTTCATAAATGATTTTGCTATATTTTGATCCAGGGCCGATTTAACTTCGTGTCTAGCTATTTTAAACTCTTCAGCCACATTAGCGTTTTAGGGACTAATCATTTTAGATACGAAGAGTAAC